GAAAACAATACAGGTTTATTTGAAGAGCTAATGATGAGAATTTTCCAAAAATTTCCTAGATGACAGACGCCAAAGTTAAATCAAGAGATTTAAGAAGCCCAGTAAATTCCAAACTATAAGTAAAAAGAAATCTATACCTAGAAACATTATATTGAAGCTGTAGAACATCAAAGCAAAAAGATTTTGAAAGTAGCTGGAGGAAAATATGATGTTCAAAGTATGAGACTTTGAGCTTACTTTTCTACAGCAATAATGGCCATCTGAAGACAATGGAATTATATCCTGTTGTGCTGAAAGAAAATAACTGCTAACCTATAATCATATGTACAAGGAAAATATCTTTTAAGAATGAGGTTAAAAGCCCAGAGATAAACCCATGCACATATGGTCACCTTGTCTTTGATAAAGGAGGCAAGAATATACAGTGGAGAAAATACAGCCTCTTCAATAAGTGGTGCTGGGGAAACTGCACAGCTACATATAAAAGAATGAAATTAGAACACTCCCTAACACCATACACAAAAATAAACTCAAAATGGATTAAAGACCTAAATGTAAGGCCATACGCTATAAAACTCTTAAAGGAAAACATAGGCAAAACGCTCTATGACATAAATCACAGAAAGACCCTTTTGGACCCACCTCCTAGAGAAATGGAAATAAAAACAAAAATAAACAAATGGGACCTAACTAAACTCAAAAGCTTTTGCACAGCAAAGAAAACCATAAACAAGACAAAAAGAGAACCCTCAGAATGGGAGAAAATATGTGCAAATGAAGCAACTGACAAAGGATTAATCTCCAAAATTTGCAAGCAGCTCATGCAGCTCAATAACAAAAAAGCAAACAAACCAATCCCAAAATGGGCAGAAGACCTAAATAGACATTTCTCCAAAGAAGATATACAGATAGCCAACAAACACATGAAAGAATGTTCATCACTAATCATTAGAGAAATGCAAATCAAAACTACAATGAGGTATCACCTCACACTGGTCAGAATGGCCATTATCAAAAACTCTACAAACAATAAATGCTGGAGAGGGTGTGGAGAAAAGGGAACACTCTTGCACTGCTTGTGGGAATGTAAATTGATACAGCCACTATGGAGAACAGTATGGAGGTTCCTTAAAAAACTAAAATTAGAACTACCATACAACCCAGCAGTCCCACTACTGGGCATATACCCTGACAAAACCATAATTCAAAAAGAGTCATGTACCACAATGTTCATTGCAGTTCTATTTACAATAGCCAGGACATGGAAGCAACCGAAGTGTCCATCAACAGATGAATGGATAAAGAAGATGTGGCACATACATGCAATGGAATATTACTCAGCCATAAAAAGGAACGAAGTTGAGTTATTTGTAGTGAGGTGGATGGGCCTAGAGTCTGTCATACAGGGTGAAGTCAGTCAGAAAGGGAAAAAGAAATACCGTATGCTAACCCATATATATGGAATCTAAAAAATAAATAAATAAAATGGTCATGAAGAACCTAGGGGCAAGATGGGAGTAACACACAGACCTACTAAGGAATGGACTTGAGGATAACGGGAGGGGGAAGGGTAAGCTGGGACAACATTAGAGAGTGGAATGGCCATATATACACTTCCAAACGTAAAATAAATAGCTAGTGGGAAGCAGCCGCATAGCACAGGGAGATCAGCTCGGTGCTCTGTGGCCACCTAGAGAGGTGGGATAGGGAGGGTGGGAGGGAGGGAGACACAAGAGGGAAGAGATATGGGGACATATGTATATGTATAACTGATTCATTTTGTTATAAAGCAGAAACTAACACACCATTGTAAAGCAATTATACTCCAATAAAGATGTTAAAAAAAAATGAGGTAAAATATATATTTTTTGAAAATCAACATCATAAAGTCTACTAAAGATAATTCAGTATGATATACTTTAGGCGAAAGGAAAGTGATCACAGGTTTGGTAGGTCTGTGATGAAAGAAGGAATTAAGGGCAAATAAGCTAACATATATCTGGGTAATTTAAAAAATAGTGCAAGTGTAAAGTATGATAATGTCCAATAAATTTTTAAAAAATGAGGGAATTAAAGTTCATGACTCAGTAACATATGTCAGAACAGGAATAAAAGGAACAAAGTGTCCTAAGATTCTTATTTTGTCTAAGAGGATGGTAAAGGTATTAATTGATGTTTTTGGATAACTTAAGTATGCATGTTGCATGCTTTAAGAAAATCAATAAAATAATAGAAACAGAGCAGTTGTGTTCCCAACTAGTAACAGGAAGAGGGTTAGAATAATGATATAATCCATTAATACTAAGAAAACAAAGAAAGAAAGATCACAAAACAAACAGAAAGAATAAAATAACAGGAAACACTTGTACCCAAATATATCAGTATATTAAACTGAAATGATTAAAGTGCTAAGTACTCTGGGAAAAGAAAAAGATTGTCTGACTTCTTTGAAAAAATAGAATATAACAATGTGCTGTTTAAAAGAGGTGCTAGTAAAATATAAGGTTACTGAAAGCATAAAAGGATGGAAAAGACATAACATGTAAATATTAACTAAATGAAAGCCAAGGTAACTATATTAATATGAGACAAAATAGAGTTTTAAATAATAAAACAATAATAGAGATAAAGGAGATATTTCACAAAGATAAAAGTTTCAAATCATCAATAACATAAAGCCAATTTAAATTTGTATGTAATGAATAGCATTGCCTCAAGATATGTAGAGCAAAAAGGAGACAGAACTACAAGAAGAAAATTTTTAAAAGCTACTACCCTTTTAGAAGAGTTCAACACTTTCTTCTAAGTTAATCCAAGTAGAATAAATGGGGCAAAAAAAAAAAAAACCTAACAACTATATAAATGATATGGACAACACAGTTATCAGACTTAACCCAATAGATCCACATCACATCCCAAAACTACAGACTACTCCTTCTTTGCAAGCACAAACAGGATAAAAATCGATCATATTCTGGGAGATAAAACAAGTTTTAACAAATTTCAGTTGACTGAATATATATGAACTGTTTTCTCTGAATATGATTCAGTTAAGCACAAAATCCGAACAAAGAAAAAATAAAACATAACCATATGTTTGGAAATAAAGAAGCACTTGGGTGCACAAATTCAACATGTCCACCAAACTCCAAACTACCCCTTCTTTTCTTCCCTGTCTTCATCACTCATCCCACTCTTGTCTAAGGCATCATTTATGGTCCCATGACATTGCCTTAATTCAGGCCTTCTCTTTGATTTTCCTCTCTTTGAGGTTCATGCTCCTCCTATCTGCCACACTATGCCTTCCAAAAGATTGGTTTAATCATATAAAGCCTTTATTTAAAAATTTTTTAAAGACCCTCAGTACCAACAGGATAAAATTCAAACTCCATAACATGACATTCAAGGATCCTTGATAGAGCCTCTGCTTTTCTTTTCATCTTTATTTCTTCCCAAGCCTTCGTGCACCTTTTATGCATTAGTTATGCTATTCACTTATACTTTCCTAAACACCCTGTTCTCCCTGTCTCCTCCTTACCTTTGCACCTACTTACCCCTCTACCTGGGATGTCCTCTCTTACTATTCACCCACCTGACCATTTCCTGTATATCCTGGGAGATACAATTCAAGTATCACATTCCTTGCCTGGTCAGTCCTCATAGTGTTATTCTCTTCTTCACTTTCTACCCTAGAATTGTTTTTTGTACTTCAGTTTTTTAAATTAGCTATTTTAAATGTCTGCCTATTGTGTTAGACCATAAACTACGTGCAGATAGGATTTTTTTCTTGTTCATTTCTTTTTCTATTCTTAGCACTTATATAAGGAGGGCTCAAAAATTGAATTTATGAATAAAATTAAAATTCTTATGTTAGCTTAAACATATTTGTTGAAAGAAGCAAGAAGGGTCAGTCAATATGTTGGCTATGAGAAAGGAGAGCGATATTATAAAAAGTAGATGGAATGACATGTAAAGAATATGAGATGGCACATTTGGTGTGGTAGTCCTAAAACCTTTTAGCATCCTGAAGGAAGGGCTTCCAGGTAGAGTTGTACAGCTTTTATACTGCACAACTTAAGAGGGTGCCATACACATCTAGTCAAGGATGTGATATTGTTGCCCAGAGCAATCCTGAGTGCAAAACATCCTGAGTGGTCCCACACAATTTCCTTGATCAAATGAACCATGTCATTAGAGCCCAGGAAATAATTGTTATTTATTATGACAGTTGGGAGTCATCATTAAGAAAAGGCCTGTATTTTTCATACCCTAATGAGAGAAATGTGTAACACCTTTTGGAAATCTTCCCATCAAAAACAAAAAGATTAGGTACCTAACGTAGCAAGTTTTGATTGTATGGGAAAAAAACTCACAACTAAGCCAAATAAATGAGCCATTGCAGTGGGTTGAAATCCATATCCACCTGTGGTATAATTTGCAAAGTTTGCTTAAGGTTTACGCATGAATATTATGACTTGCAGTCAAATTCTTTCTGACTGAATAATTTAGAAAATAAATTTATATACTTGTGTTACCCATTTTATTAAATAATTGGTATCCAGAAGCCCAAGGACTGAGCCTCATATGGGATAATTAGAATTCACTGACTTGAACCAATGGCTTCATCTGCTTCAGAATTTCATGCCAGTGTGGATACTCTGCTTTTATACGCAGAACATCATTTGCTTGCTAACAGTATAAACCAAACATACTTAAAACATTTTTTTCTGGGAAGCAACTAGAAAGAAAACATAAACTCTGCTTAGTTTCACCTGCAAATGCATTTTTAAAGCAATGAGTCTTATTCATTGCCCACACTCAGGAGTCACGTTTCCCTACCCAAGCTGAAATTCCCAGGCCTAAATATGTTCTCCACCCACCTCTTAATATGCCTTCCCTGTTGCTAGATGTATTCTTGAAAATAGCTTCTCACAGTAAGAGTAGCCCCTGGCTTATTGCAAACCACATATTTTATCTGTTTTAATATCTCTTTTCTACAGATCCTCCTGCTGTGGAACCAGCATTTCTGGAAATCCGGCAAGGACAAGACCGCAGTGTCACTATGAGCTGCAGGGTCCTGAGAGCCTATCCAATACGGGTGCTGACCTATGAGTGGCGCTTGGGAAACAAATTATTACGGACGGGTCAGTTTGACTCTCAAGAATACACAGAGTACCCGGTGAAGAGTCTTTCCAATGAAAACTATGGAGTTTATAATTGTAGCATCATAAATGAAGCTGGAGCAGGGAGATGCAGCTTTCTTGTTACAGGTAAGATGCTGAATATTTTGCTTTTTTTTTTTTTTTTTTTTTAGATCATGGTAGCTTAGGCTTATGTCAATATAAGAATGAAAGCATTTTACAGATCCATGGAGCATACCATGAACAGCTTGACTGTTCATATTTAGAGCTTCTACTCATTTATTTTCAAGGAAAGTCTATTTTAGTAGTTAAGATAGTTAATGTGCCTATAAAATTAGAAGTTTATGTGAATTCAAATAGCGTTTGTGATGAGGTTGGTTATGTTGAGTGTTTCAGTAATAAAGTGACAAACCTTAACTAGCTTTATTTAGATCAAATTGCAAATATTAATACATGTTTTCTTTTGCAAGTTTAAAATCCCTTGCAATCCAATACCTTTTCTGGTTTTAATAGTAGAGAATGCTTTCTTTCTTTTTCTTGTTTATTTATTTATTACCTCTTAATGTATGGTGAATCTTCATTTTGTCCCTGGCTTACCATAGGACCACAGATATTCAAAGGGAAATCAATATAGCTGTATCTGGTATATAATGAATTAGAGAGAATTATCATTTTTGATATCATTATCTTTTAATGTATTTAAGGAAATATTAAATCTGTATTAAATCATACATGTTTATTTAAATTATTTTGGTAATATAAAGTAAATCTGTGTAATTTTTGAGCTAGGGTTTAGGCATACATTAAAAGGACATACTCCTTTTCATTATTATTTTGTTCTAGATAAAATTAGTTGAAACGGTTATAGTGTTTATGCTACTAAAAGAAGAAACTGGACATTGTATGTTATCTGGAAAGCAATCATAAAAATCATGATTAAAAGGTTTCAGAATTAATTAAATCTTGTTCATTGGTAATATAAATTCTTATTAATAAGTTCTTACTCATAAGAGAACTCTCTAATATGGGTTGCCTTGAGACATTTTTGCTTCCTGAAATGGGATATTAGGTGGATAAAATACAATTGACTAACCAAAGAATATGAAGACATCCTCTCTGCTGGATCTTGCCACCTCTTGGTTTTGCAATCTCTTTTATTAACATTCAGTTGAACTTAAGGTTTTTCTACTTTGATACTTAAAGTGAACTATTAAAACGAAATAAAAAATCCCTAGGACAATTACTTACATGGCGATCTAATTTTTCTTCCTAGGAATATTTACAAGGGTAAGAGAATGTACTCTATTACTCTATGGGGTAATTTAAATGGCATGATATACTTTCATTCCTTATTTATATGTTATTATCCCAAGCAATAAGAATCCTTCAAAGGCAATTGTTTTTCACATATTGGTACAAATGGAGCACTTTACTTTTTTTCATTAACCCTCCAAAATAAAAATACTCCATAAAATTAACCAAACCCCTTTCTTCAATCTTTTTGGCTTTATACACATTCTGATTTTCTCTGGTGACACTGTTTTCTAACTTTGGTTTAGACCATGCTGCCTCTGCAAGATTTTCATTTGTTCTCTATTATATGATCCAAATCCTATTTTTTGAGCTAGAAGACAAGCTGAGACCAGAATAAACACTAGCTCCATTCTCCCATTCCAGATCCATGGGGTGCAGTAAGTAGATTTCAGTAGTTGCAGGAAGGAATAAACCTGTTGTGGATTCCCCCATAGAGGGAGAGGAAACAGCCCCGTGCATTAATTTGCTTCCAGTGTGCATTTTTCAATCTCCAGGTCAACCTCATTGTTTCAAGATCTCCACATAAAATCTAATAGTTTTTGTTTGTTTTTTTGTTTGTTTTTTTTGGCGGTACGCGGGCCTCTCACTGTTGTGGCCTCTCCCGTTGCGGAGCACAGGCTCCGGACGTGCAGGCCCAGCGGCCATGGCTCACGGGCCCAGCCGCTCCGCGGCACGTGGGATCCTCCCGGACCGGGGCACCAACCCATGTCCCCTGCATTGGCAGGCGGACTCTCAACCACTGCGGCACCAGGGAAGCCCCTAATAAAGTTTTGAAGAAGAGAAAAAGAAATGATTGAATTCCAAATACAGTATAATTCAGGAAAATATATAAGGAAATCAGTGATTCCATAGAATCAGACATCTGGAAGAAACTCTGAAAGACTATTTACTCTTCTACTAAAACATACCAGAATTAGTAGTAATCCTTATCAATTTCCCATAATTCAAAACTCTTTGAAGCTATGCAGAAGAGAACTAGAGAATATAATGTATGCAAGGATTCATATATTTATTATGCATATGTTCTTTACCCACAAAGCAGATCTTTTAAGACAATTCTTTTTCCTTGAGGCCCAAATTAACTAAGAAACATTTAAATTTTCAAAGTTATAACTATTGTACCAAATTTAAGAATTTAAACCCTTCCACTTGCTTGTCCTGAATGTCCTGAAAGTGGACTTGATCTGGCTGCACATCAAAACGTACAGAATTGAACTAAAAGACAATGGCAGCCCTCATGTCTATATGTATTCTAGCTCCCAGGAAAGCTCAAAAGTTCGGACGTGTTTTCTTCATTTATATCATGAGTATGCAATGTGTGTGGGTGTTTTGGGGTAGGAGAGTGGGGTTGTGTTTACCAAGAAGTCAGAGTGGCTGTGAGAATATTTTCCTGGGAAGGAAAAGAAGATAGTAAGCAAAGGTATTTTGGGACGAGTCACCAACCTAGCTTGTTGTGCACTGTCCATATTAGAGAATATTAGCTATAATACTACAAAATACTGTGTACTTTCATTTATTTTATTTACTAGTATTGTTATAGTGAAGTTAAGCCTAGTTTTTTTGTGTTTTAAGCCTTTGTACTCGAACACCATTTATCATATTTTTCTGTGGGAGAATTTTTACAAGTTCTATAAATAAATGTGACATATTAATTTATTATAATAAGTCCACTTGTAAATGTGCAATTCCAAGTATATATGTATAAATACATAGACATAAGTATTTCTATATTAATAAATAGTTTTGTACTGTTTATCAGATCACTCAACTGGAGCATGGATTTCACTTTATCACAGGTTTAAATGCTCCAAATTAACATTTGGAAAGAATGTTTTTAAAGACTTCAAAACATCTAGGCACATTCATTACATTACAGATATGAGTGAATAACATGCTAGGTTAGATCCTAGCACACAGCTTGATCCAGAAAAGAAAACCAGTAAATCTGGGATGATGGAATAGATAGAGGGATGGCCAAGAGTGAATGATTAAATGGAAGTAATCTTACTGAAAATTATTTTTTAATGGGAAAAGAATGAGGGTGAAAGAGTAGTTCAAGTTGAAAATATGTAGCGGGCTGAATAGTATCCGCCAAGAAGGTAAATCCATGTCCTAATCCCCAAACCCTGTGAATATCACTTTATGTGGCAATACATGATTACGTTAAGGATTTTGAGATGAGGAGCTTATCCTGGATCATGTAAGGTTAGTGAAAGATTTAATGTCCTTATGGTTGCATGATAGAGGGCCCTAGCATTTTGCTGGTTTTGGGCTGAAGGCCACTCTCATGTCTTAGAATATTTCTGCAGGTCCTAGAGATCACCTGTAATTCCTTGTCACATGTGCTTTTCCAGCGTGGCTGCTTAATTCATCAAGCCATGAGGAAGAATCTCTAGCTCTAGTCTGTTAAGATGGAATCTTATATAACATAACCTAATTACTGAAGGAACATCTCATCACAGTTTTTTCCCACCCTCTATGGGAGAGAATTATACACAAAGACATTAATAACAGAAGTAGAAATCACTGGAGTCACCTTAGGTTCAGTCTGCCACATGTATCAACATTACCTGCTGCTAGGAGTACTTTTAAATACAACCTACATATGAAACTGTTTTATCTATGGCAAAAGTTAAAGAAATTCCTCATAGTTTAATCCCTTTCAATAAACATGGCAAATAGGGTTTTAAAAACAAAAATTTGCCTGTGACTGTTGTTTTCACCTCTAATTTGGAAGTATTTGTACTGGGATTGTGCATCCTCTACTTTTCTTTTGATATATTACAACATTCAGACTGACATTTTGGAACTACTCTTTTCTCCATATTCAGCACCAGCAGATCAGACACATAACCAAAATTAGACAGATCCTAGAGAACAAATAAAGCAAGAGTGAGACATTTTTATGAAAGTGAGTACATGGTATCACTCAGTGAATGTAAAGAAATTGAGGATGACTGAGAACTGTGATATGCCTAAGACAGGCTGTTGGATTACTCTAGCATTACTTAGTTCTAAAGAATGAAAAGGATGAAATAACAACCAAGTCAAATTTGACTCCAGATCACAATGTTTTATTCTTGTTTTCTAAAGTCAGATTGAGTTATGTAGTAACCAGATAGAAAATGTATTTTATTCTCTGGTAATGCATATGTTTGTGCTATTCAGCTGGATACTTGTTTGTTATGAATGTCTAAACATGAACAGCATAACACTGTAGAAAAATCATTAGAACTATCAGAAGTAAGATCAAATGAACTAATGGAAAAATATCTAATAAAATTCCCTGTGATAGGGCTTCTCTCATGGCGCAGTGGTTGGGAGTCCACCTGCCGATGCAGGGGACACGGGTTCGTGCCCTAGTCCGGGAAGATCCCACATGCCACGGACCGGCTAAGCCCGTGAGCCATGGCCACTGAGCCTGCGCGTCCGGAGCCTGTGCTCCTCAACGTGAGAGACCACAACAGTGAGAGGCCTGTGTACCGCAAAAAAAAAAAAAAAAAAAAAAAAAAATTCCCTGTGATAACTCTAAAAGGCAAAAAACTTCAATGTCAAATATTTTTCAGAGCCAAAATTCTGTTAAATTTATTAGAATTTTACTTATGATGATAACAGATAGACTAATGGATCCCAGTGTTTCAGCCAGCCTTATGAATTACAGTTATGTTAAAACTATAGAGCAGAAAATGCATTATATGTCCTAACAACTCGATGTATTCTATGGTGTACAAAGTGATTCCACTTGTATTCTTTTCATTCAAACAATTCTGCTGTGTGTGTGGAAGAAGCAATATCACCCTTGTATGACAGGTAAG